CTCCCCTTCCATCCCTGGTAACCAACAAAGAAAGTTAAACCTTTCCTTGACTTTTTACACTATATTTGTCCATCTGTGATTGACTTCTTTCACTCAGTATCATGTCCTCCAAGTTCATCCATGTTACGTGGTGTTTTGCAAATTCAACATTATTCTTTAGGGTTGCAGAGTATTCTATTGTGTGTACATACCACAGTTTAGCTATCCATTCCTCTGTTGATGTGCATGTAGGTTGTTTCCATCTTTTTGCTATTGTAAGTAGTGCTGCGATGAACATGGGTGTGTGTATATCTGTTCTTGTCCTTGCTCTCACTTCTTTAGGATATATGCCTAGTAATGGCATTACTGAGTCAAATGATATATCTAATTCCAGCTTTTTAAGAAATTGCCATATTGTTTTCCACAGTGGTTGTATCATTTTACAGTTCCACCAGCAGTGGATGAGAGTCCCAATCTCTCCACATCCTTGCCAGCATCTGCCAATTTCTGTCTTGTTGAACTTTGCCATTAGTGCTGGGGTAAGATGGTATCTCATTGTTGTTTTGATTTGCATCTCTCTTGCGGTTAATGATCATGAGCTGTATACCACACTCTTAACAGTGGCTACTGCTAGGGAGTAGGATGGTGATGAAAAGTGAGGGCAGAGAACTTTTTACTTGATACATTTCTGAATATTTTTAAAATAATGAAAATATATTACTGGTATAATAAAACTTAAAAAATGGAAACTGATTGATAAGCAAAACTAAAAGAATTTAGAGTTTGACTTTCTAAATAAGTTTTGCTTACAAAACTTTTATTGTAAGTTTTGTTTACAAAATAAAATTTACATCTTCAACAGTGTAGTATATAGAACTTTAAATGATAAGTTAGTTGTGATAGGAATAACAACATATTTCCAGTTATACTGTGTACACATTTTTTTTTTTTAATGAGAAACTGTATTTGAAATGTTACAGTACTGATTCTTTTTTTTTTTTTTAATCTCTCCATAGGAATAAGAATCTTGACAATTTCCTCATGGCATTATTATACTATTTATCTCATTTTTTGGAAAAAATCTCACTGGAAAAGAAACCCAAAAGCTACATGGTGTAAGTAGGACTTTATAGTGTGCTTTATAGTTTTACCACCGCCATATAAAAACTAACATATTGTCTAGGGTAAAGAAATGATGGCAGTTTTTAAAATGGAGTATACTTAAACATTTTACATGGGAGGAGTTTGCCAGTTTTTAAAGCTTATCAAATAATTCAGATGGGAATTTGGTAACAAAATATTCCCAGTGGTACAGACCAGCACTGCCCAATAGAAATGTATTGAGAGCTATGTGTGTAATTTTAAATTTTCTAGTAGCCATATTTAAGAAATTTTTAAAGATACAGGTGAAAATAATTTTAATAGTATATTTTATTTAAGCCAGTATCTCAATGTAATCAATGTCAGAAAGTTATTAATAAGATAGTTTGTATTTTTTTCATAGTAAGTTTTTGAAATCTGGGGTCTGTTTTACACTGAAGCCCACCTCAGTTTGAACTGACCACATTTCATGTGCTCAATGGTATCTGTATTGGACAGCACAGATAAAGATGTTGTTTGTATACTTCTTATGCTTAAAAGTTCTTTTTTTAAAAACTGTAATAAAATACATATAACATAAAATTTACCATTTCTATCATTTTTATGTGTACAATTCAGTGGCATGAATTAGATTCACGATGTCATGCAACCTTCATCACTATATACTTCCAAAACCTTTCACCACGTCAGATAGACGCTCTGTACCCATGAGGCAGTAACTCCTCGTTCCTCTTTCCCTTAGTATCTGACAACCTTTCATCTGCTTTTTGTCCCTATTTTGCCTATTCTGGATATTTCATGTAAGTGGAATCACACACTATTTATCCTTTTGTGTCTAGCTTATTTCACTTACCTGTTTATAAAGTTCTTGCTAAAGGGTTTATAAGCATCTTAAAAAAAAAAACAAACACCTAATGAAACATCAACAACTAAGAATGAAAAAATAATTAACAGATGACCAAAATTACATTCTAAATCACAGAAGAAAGCAAAGTTTCTTAAGCCTGCTTCTGAAAAAATTTAACTATTTCAAGCAGAAGTGTCTCAGAACTATGCACCCAGGACAAGATCTGGGAACTCAGAGTCCAGAACAATGCCTCTCAGGCCTGGTGACCTTTCGTAAGCCATGGAACTTTCCAAGTGCCCAGGCTGCCCTCCCAGCCCATGTGGAGCCAACCCAGTGATATAGTGATTAGGAATGCTGGGTAGAGCCATTAATTTGTTGCTGCATTATGTTTTCAAAATGAAAAACTCTTGTACCCAATCAAGCCATTTTAAAACATTTTATGGATAGATAAATGTATCTGGACAGCAGTTTTGAAGAGAACCAAGTAAATAAAGCACTGCTGCTTCAGTAAAGCCATCATCCTATGCAGCTGCAGTGTTATTTGAGGACCGTGTTTCACAGCTCTGCAGCCAGAGATCATGAAATGTTTCTATGGTAGCAAGCAAAAGGGATAAAGCCAGCTGTGGGCTTAGGGGTTGAGTATTTCTCACTGTTCCTAAATAGAAACTTACTAGACTTTGCTGGTACTTAAGTTTCTATTTCCTAGGGTGTTTTCTAATTCTGAGGGTTATTGCTAATGTAGTGAAGAGATTTGTTTCATATCTTAATTTGTAGGAATGGATAATAGAGAAGGAAGGTTTAGAAAATAGACTAAAACTTACTAGGATATAGTGGTATGAGGTAGACTGTTTCTTGGAATCAATTACAGAATGACAAAAACTAAGGCAGTCCAAACCTTAAAATTACTGATTCTACAGCAGTGTGACTTTAAAAAAAAAATCACAATAACTTTTTATGAGCAGGCTTCCAATAATCAGTTGGTTTACTTATTATAATAGAATAAGTATATAATACATTGAGATATCTGCACAAAAATAAGTTAAAGAAAAAAAATATGTTTCAGTCAAACTAGTGAGAAATAACAGAGATCATAATAGTACCTGCTTCATAGAATTATTGTGCATATTAAAGACGTAATGTATATAATCTTAACCCAGTGCTTAGAATGTGGCACTTCATCCTAATGGCACTCCTATCCATTGTAGGAGGAATGCCTAGAATTTAGGACAGGCAGGTAGAAAGAGATAGAGAAAGATGCCCGAGAGACATTAAATGATTTTAGATGATTAAAAGCTCTAACTCCAGAAGAAAGAATCTTATCCCCATTTTATAGATGAAGAAGTTAAGGTTTAGAGAGGTTAAATATCTTGCTAGAGATTACATGCCTAGTAAGTGATAGAGGTGAGATTAGAACTCAGGTCTATCTAATTCCAAAGTCTGTGCTTTCACCATGGTGTGACAGTGCTCACCACAATGTACCAATCCCCTATGCTCTTTTTTAGAGTTTATCCGTTTATCTAGGTTTATCATGGTGTAGTGCCTAAGCCATTTGACCACTAACCAGAAGGCTGGTGGTTCAAACCCACTAGCCATTCCTTGCAAGGAAGATTGGGCAATTTACTTCCAGCGGTAGAGATACCACCAGAAACCCAAGGAGGGGCCGCTATGAGTTGGATTGGACTCAACGGGAAGTGAGTTTGGTTTTGGAGTTTATCAGAGTATATCCATTATCAGCGTTTATCCTTTTATAATATAGCTGCTACACAAAGACAAAATTGTATTTACGATTTTAAACATTATGGCATAAACATTTTTCAGTTATTACGATCATCATAATTATTTTTAACAGGGGCATAATTTTCCATCAAGCCAATGTATGTTAATTGGCCATATGCCTTAACCATTACACCACCAAAGCTCCTTATAAAGTATAGTGGTTAGAGTATAGACTTTTGTACCAGGCAGCCTGGGTTAAATCTCACATTAGGTTATAAATGTCAAGTCCTTCTGCAGTAAGCTAGCTATATTACTCTTATTTTTATCCCTCTATTTTTATATATTTTGGCAGTTGCCAGTTTTTATGATAGATATATAAGTAATGCATTGAATATCATTATGCTTAATACTTTCCCCTTCATTTTGGATGATTTTTTTTTTTAGCTTTTTATTGTGATTTGGGTGAAAGTTTACAGGGCAAATTTGTTTTCTATTCAACAGTTCATACATATTTTATTTTGTGACAGTCATTGCATTCTCCACAAGGTAACAATTCTCTTCCTTCCTTCCTGTTACTACCTTTTCCTTTTCCCTGTGTCCTTCTTTCCTGTGCATTCCTGCCTTCTGAGCTTTCTGCCTATGCAAATGCTACTCTTCTGATCTCTCTTGGATGATATTTTTTAAAAGAATAAATTTCCACGTGAGGGATTACTGATCAAAATTTATGATCATTTCTGTGGCTCTTGAAATTATTATCAAATATTTTTCAAAGAATCATGTCAATTTTATGTTATCAGCAATCCACAAATCTATCAGTTTCTTGCACAATTTGTCAGCATTGGGGATAATAATTATTTTTTATTATTTAATAGGTATAACATTATATCATTTGCATTTTAAAAAGATTGCTTGTTAGTGCATGTGAGCCACAAACTGGCAATATTTGAGGCAATGTTACGAACTGAAGTTTGGCAACCATATGCGTGGAATGGTTTCCAGACAGGGAGCTTTCACGTGGTCAGGACAACTCTGCCTGGAATTTTGTTCCTAGATTAGCTTCCCTTAGCTATTTTTTTCATAGTGTTTCCCTTTTTTCCACTTCAACCCATACGTTCTTTGCCAATAAAATAAAGTATATTTCTAAAAGTAGTTGAAGAATCACCTACCTCAGAATCAAGTAGGGTAATTGATTATTTTAAACGTCATTTCCTGGACTCTCCCTAGACCAGCTGAACCTTGGAAAAGGGGTCACATTAGGAAGCCACACTTTTAGCAGGCACCCTAGGCAATTTGGACTTAATCCATATGTATATTAAATTTTAAGAACCATTAGCCTGAAAGTTTCAAGGCATTTCTTGATTATTGCTGTTTGTTTTGTTTTGTTTTCAAGAGCAACAGTATCAGCTACTGATAGCTTTGGTAAAGGGTAGGGGTGGGGACTGCAGAAGGAAGCAGGGAGACAGGCATAGTGATGGCCACTAGGTGGTGTAGGGATGTGTGTTTGTGTCACATGGAAGTTGAGCTTGTAAAGCTACAGCCTGCCCACTTTACTTATCTATTCCAGAAACTCATTCCAGGGACTGACAAGTCTGATCCCATAGGATAACGTTTTGTCCTTTGAAATACCTGTGTTATCCTAAATTCATCTCTTTCCCCAACGGCGTATCTTCATGTGGTCAGTCTAGTGGGTAAAATCAGAAGGGACAGATAGTTGCCTCTGTAGTTATTTTTTATAATATTTTATTGTTTTGGGGTATTTTTAAAGTGAAAGCCTACATAGTGAATAGGGTTCCCATTTAACAGTTATTACACAAATTGTTCTGTGACATTGGTTACAATTTTCACAATGTGTGAGCATTCTCATTATTTCCATTCTGTTCTGATTCCATAGACCAGCTTCCCTTCCCCACTTCACCTTTTATCTTCACTTTTGGGTAAATATTGACTGTTTGGTCTCATGGAGTTAATTGTTTAAGGGACACATTACTCATGGGTGATATTGTTTATTTTATAATCCAAGCTATCGTTTGGCTGAAAGTTGACCCCTGGGAGTGGTTTCAATTCTAGGCTACAACGATATCTTAAGGCGATAGGGGTTCTTCTAGTCTCTATCAGTCCAGTAAGTCTGGTCTTTTTTATTTTTATGAATTTGAGTTTTGTTCTATGTTTTTCTCCCATTCTAACCAGGACGTTCTATCGTATTTCTGGTCAGAGTGGGCAGTAGTAGTAGCTAGGTACCATTTAGTTCTTTTGGTTTTAAGTTAGAAGAGGCCATCGTTCATGTGAGCTATTAGTCCTATGTACTAGTTTCTTCCTTGAGTCTTCGGTTTCATTCATTCTCTTTTACTCCAAATATATATAGACCAATAGTTGTGTCTTAGGTAGTTGCTTGCAAGCTTTTAAGACTCCAGGTGCTACTTACCAAACTAGGGTATAGCGTATTAACTTTAT